GTGGGTCTAGCTGGCCTGGGTGACAACACTCTGCCCTGCCTCCCTTCGCCATCCCCTTGGGATGCCATTGAGGTTTTGAGACCTAAATAGACGTGTAAATCATATAAATAATGCAAAACCGGAATTTTTTCATCTAGTTGCTCACAGAGGCTTGGGGGTGAAATTGAATCCCGTGCTGCATGTTTGTTTTGGAAATAATGTGTGTGGGGTTGTTTGCCAGAATGAATTAGTTTTTGTCCCAATGCTGTGCCTGTAGTGATGGGCTGATCCCCATGGGGGTGGGGCGTCCACCCAGGCATCAGGGTCTACCCCACCCCCAGAGGGAGCCATCTGCAAATGGGGAAACTGAGGACAGCAGGAATTCAGCCATGGGACAAAAGATCTCAGAGCTGGCCTGCGGTACCGCATCACCTCCTGCCTTGGCCCAGAATGGGGTGTCGAGGCCGTGGCCGTGACCTCCTGCCTGCTTACTGTATATCTTGGTCTGGTTGCTTAACTTCTCTGAGCCTAGGTCTCCTACTCTGTACACTGGGGAATAAGTTCAGTGCAACTAGGAAGAATCTCTGTAGATTGTGCCAGGCCCTTGGCTAAGGCTCAATAAATGGCCAGAAATCATGTGGGGATTGTGACTTGGGATAAATGGCATTGCCCTCATTCTCCAGCTGAGGGGCCAGGGACCAGGGTAGACAGAGTAGAGAAGAATTGACCAGTACCTGGCTGGAGCTGAGGAGGAAGAGGACACCTCCACCTGGAAGCCTACCCTGACTGGCCCACCATTAGAGATGTTACCATCAGTGTTTCCTGGAAGCCCCTGAGGGCAGACGCTGTGCCTCCTTTGTCCTTTCCCTGGGTGCTACACAAGGGAACACTGAGCCATGCGTCCGGAGACCTGGATCTCAGGCCCACCTTTAGCCTGACCTCGCAGTGTGGCTTGAATGCTGCTGGGCCTCTCTGGGCCCTGGGTTTCCTGTCAGTGTGGTCGAGAACTGGCCATCTGCACAGTTACCGCTGTCTGGGTCCTCCAACTCTTACAGAGGCTATTTAAAAATAACTGCATCTTCCTGCCTGTCACTCTCCCTGTCAGCTGCCACCCCTGGCTCAGCGTCTCCCACCGTTCAGCCCCTCTCCCTTGCCAATTTCCGCCTTTGTTCGTTCTTGGCCTTGAACTGAACCCTCGCGGGATACCCAGTCTGCCAGGAGTAAGTGGTCCCACCCACCCCCACTTTTCTGATGCAGTTTTACTTGCGGTTGGAAGCCGGTCTCTGCTACGTGCTAACTGCACTTTGATGCCTGCTTGAGCCTATTCTGGCCATGGGAGGATTGGGGCAGGAACTTGGAGCTGGAAATGGGGTATCTGAGCACACGGGTGTTGAACATCACCAGGGCTACGACAGACAGTTGCACAGGTTGCACACTGCACAAGGACCCTGGGCGAGCTGCAGATCAGATCCGGCCATGTACCCCTCACCAAGCCAGGCACCTGCCATGGCCCTGCATCCACCCACAGGGGGCGCCTGAAACAGCTTTCCCCACACCCAGGAGGTGGATTGCCATGGTGATCATTGCCATTCCCCAGCCCAGGTCCCTCAGTTCCCCAGCCCAGGTCCCTCAGTTCCCCAGCCACCCCACCTTTCCTGGGCCTTCACCAGCCCCCAGCTAGCCCAGAATGGTGGGTTCTGTCCCCAGCCATGCAGAACAGCCGCCTTTATCAGGAGCCAGGCCTCTCTGGCAATGCGTGATACTCAGGAGATGGAGTGGCGGCCGTGGGAAACACCAGCCATGCTGTTATCTGGGAGGCTCGGCCCGCCAGCCGTGAGGCTCTGATTAGGCAGCACGGTCGTTTGCCTGTGGGTACATGTGTGGGCAGGTGGGGGGCAAACCAGAGCCAGGGCTCCGGGAAAGGGACCGCAGGCCCCGACAGGTATGACAAGCAGGGGCAGGCTGGGATGCCTGGGACTGCCCCACTCTTTCTGTCGCTCGCGGGATGCTCTGGGCCAGCTGCCTTCCTCCACCTCCATGTCCCTGAGTCTCGGCCCACACATGGAAAGACTGAGTTGAATTCTGAGCTCCTCCTCCCACAGGAAGGTGGGCACCAGCCTTAGATGGAAAGTGTCTCCTCATGGGGGCTTCATGACCAGCAAAGCCAGGAACAACTCCTACACGAACATTCCGCGCACAGAAAAGAAAATATGTGACTAACAGAAGGAGTCATGGCCACCGCACCTGTCCTGCCTGTGGCCCCAGCAGGAGAACTAGTGCCCAGGGAAGCAAATGGGCGAGCCTGTTAAGAGGCCCAAGTGCAGGCCGACCTTTGTGTGGCTTAGTGAGTGTCTAGTTGTCAGGGTAGGATAAGCCATTGTGTTAGGATTCTGGGTGCTTCCCCTTTGATCCTACAACCCCGAGTGGTCAGTGCACTGGCCATCGGCAGCCCATGGCTGGCTCCCTGCCAGCCTCAGAAGCAGCGCCTGCATCTGTCAGATGGCTGGACAGGCAAATGAGGACCCAGCGAGCTCATCTCTAGACAGCCTCTTCATCCCCCGTCTTCCTCACACATACACACCCCCCTGAGGGCTGGCCAGGTGGAGGACCGGAGACCCAGATATACCCAGGGCACATGGGGCCAAGACCCTGCATCCGCATTGGGAGCCAGGTGGCCTGGGTCTGGATCCTGACATCCCACTGCCAGCTGTGTGTCCTCTCAGGGCCTTGGTTTCTTTATCTGTGCAGAGGGGCTTTAAGGAGGCCAGCTTCACAGGGCCACTTGGGCAGGGTTGGGTGACCGCATGTGGCTGAGCCACACTCCTGTTCCTGTTTCTGAGAGCCTGAGGTGGGTGAGGCCCATGGGCTGGGACCCAGGCATCCTAGGGGGCTGGCAGAGGACTCAGACCCTTGTGGACAGGCCACAAAGCGACAGAGCTGGCCACTGCCCCCTTCTCTGTGGGGCTGATAAAGGGGCGCCGGCCTCCTCGGCCTCGCCCTGGTCTCCTGCCATCTTATCTGCCCTGGGGAAGACAAGGACCCAGTTAGAACGTTTTAGCCGGGCCTCCTGGCATATTTACACGTTATCTCTGCCATTAGGCCGGCAGTTATCTGATAATCGGGCCCATTAAGGCCACAGCCTGCCCAATCGGGGCTCCAGGAAGTGGGGCCGCCACAGAAGCGCTTGCTCAGGGACCTGGCCAGGCCACATGAGGCCTCCGTGGGCCCAGGCAGCCTGGGTGGCACCTGAGGCATAAGGTGGCCTGGCCTTTGTGAGCAGAGGCTGTGTGCTATGGAGGTGCTGCCGTCTGAGGGCGTGGCCCACCACTCTCCCCTTGCCCACTGAGGACACCAAGGCCGGGGAGGAGAGGTAGCATGCAGGCGTCATTCTCCCAGGGCAGCCCTGACAAATGCGTACAGCCTTGGTGCCTCAAAAACATCAGAAGTCTCTTCCCTCACAGTTCTGGAGCCAGAAGGCCCAGATCCGGTGTCAGCAGGGCCGCGGTCCCTCTGGAGGCTCCAGGGAGGGCCGTCGCTGCCTCTCCCAGGTCCGGGGGCCCCCGCCGCAGCTTCCTCCTGGCGGCATCACTTCATCTCTGTCTTCACACGGCCTTTTCCTCGAGTCTCCCCTCTGTGTGTCTCTTCTTACAAGAACATTTGTCATTGGACTTAGGGCCCACTGGGTGATCCATGATGGTCTCATCTTGAGATCCTAACTTGATAATATCCACAAAGACCCTTTTTCCAAATAAGGACACAATCCCAGGTTCAGGGTAGACATAGCTTTTGGGGGCCACCATGTAGCCCACTATACAAGGTCATGAGGATCATGTGGCCTGCCTGGGCTGAACGCGGGAGCCTGACTGTGGACCCTGTCCAACCCCAAGGTCCTGCCCCAGGAGAAGGACCATCGCAGGCGCTCACCGCTGAGGCCCATCTGTCTGGGCAAACATGGCAGAACGCCAGCTCTACAGCGGATGCCACTACTCCAGCCATGCCACGGAGTCATGGCCAAGGCCACATAAGCAGGCAGAGCCCAGAGTATGGCCCTGCCCATGGCTCAGGGAGCCTCAGCCAGGAGACAGACCATCAGAGAGGCCATGGTTGGCCAAGGACCTCAGCGAGAGTCAGGGTCCAGACCTTCCGGAGAGGAAGCAGAGGTCCTAAAGGCAGTGCGGGACCAGCAGCATGCTGGGGTCCCCGCTGACCTTCAGAGTGTGAATGGAGCTGGACTCCGCACCACCCAGGTGGAGATTCTGGCTGTGCTGTGGGCTTTGTGGGGAGTGCTTGGCTCTGTACCTCAGCTGCCCCACCAGGCACTGTGCTAAACATGCTAGGTGGGCGACTCATTCAATCCTCGTACCACCCAAGGAAGGAGGAAGTATTGGGGATCCAACCTTATAGATGCAGGAAGCAAAACCCAGCATTTCCACAGCTGCCTTTGCAGAGGGGATGGAGATGGGTCTCATCAACATCATTGTCCTCCTCTCTGTTCCCATCCCAGCATAGGCAGCAGGGGTGACCTGGCTCCATGAGTGCATCCTGAGCACAAGCAACTTTGCCAGTGCTACCCTGGGCTGCGTGAGGGTCACAGAGGTCCCTGACAGAGCAGCTGTGGTCCCCAGACCATATGTGTTACTGGCACAGTGACTGTGCTTCCCAGGCCATGCATGTCCCTGATAAAGCAGCTATGGTTCAAGGTAGAAATACCTTTTGGTTCAAGCTATGCACCTGCCTGCTCAAATCCAGCTGCAGGCACCCCTCATTGTCCTATCTCTGCAGCCCATTGTCTTCAGGAAAGGTCTCACCAGAGGGGCTGACCTGGCCCCCAGAGCTGGGCACCAGCTACCATCCCTGTAAAGCAGGCCCAGGCCCACAGGGCGGCACTCCCTTCTCTGCCCGGCAGCCACCTGACTGCTCCTGGGGGACCAGGCTGCAGAAGTAGGCTAGACCTGGGCAGGCAGCAGGGCTGGGCTGTCACTGGTGGGCATTCCTCACACCTCTGATGTCTCTCCCCGCAGACGAGCTGGAGCAAGTCCTGCAGGATGGGCAGAGGTGCGTGCGGGCTCGACGCAGCCTTGCTGAGGGCCTGTCCTGGGGCCCATTCCACGGAAGCATCCAGAGCAGAACCTCATCCCCCAGGCAGGCAGAACCGGTAAGGAGCCCCAACCATGGCTAGACCACCCACCGGTTGCAAGGTAGTGTCCAGGGCAGCATCCCACCCAGGGCACAGGCCCTCCTGACCCCCCCCAAGCCGGGCCTGGGGTAGACTCCAGCCCAGAACCCCCCACCACTACATGTAAAACATATCAGAGGATGTGGGTATTGGGGCCAGGGGGGTATTGAGGCAGGGAGGGTTAACTGCCTGGAAGCACAAGGAGGGCTTCCTGGAGGAGGTGATGCAGGGTCTATGGGACCTTGGGTGACACAGGGAAGGCTTCCTGGAGGACAATTTTTTAAAAGAATTTATTGATTTACTTTTAGAGAGAGAGGAAGGGAGGGAGAGAGGGAGTGAAACATTGATGCAAAAGAAACATTAATCAGTTGCCTCTCATACACACCCCAACCAGGGACCAAACCCACAGCCCACGCTGTGCCCTGACCGGGAATCGAACCAGTTACCTTTTGCTTTGCAACATGATGCCCAACCAACTCAGGGCTGGAGGAGGGTTTTTTTAAGCAGGCCCTTAACAGATGAGTAGAAGTTGGTGAGGCAGAGAAGAAGAAGGCCTTTCGAGGGGAGTAAGCAACAAGGAGGCAAATTGTGGGGCTGGACCTTGTGTGTGTCTGGGGAGGAAGTCAGGAACTCCCCCACCCCCAACCAAGGCTTTATGGGCAGGCCCCCCTGGCGGTAAGCTAGGAGGTTTTCTGGGCACTTGAGGACAGCTGCAGCAGAAAGTGAGACATTTGTTCTGTTTTCGTCCCTGTGGGCCCTTCTGAGGACAAGGAGAGGGTCCCTCTGGTGCCTGAGTATCTTCAGACCCTCTTCAGCACCTGCTAATCTGCCTCTTTGACTAAGAAGCCCCACCTGGACACCACCCTGTCCCTGGATGAGAACAGTTCCAGGTTGTCGTTTGTTTCAGTGTTACTTCTAAACTGCCTCCTATTTACGGCAGGTTGGTATGGCATCCTCTTGCAAGGGGTACAAATGCTCCTTTTAAAATACAATTCAATTAAGAGCGAGCATCAATTATAAGGAGTGAGTGAGTAGGTATGGGGAAGCAAATGGGCAGCATGTACTATCATGGTAACTGGGAGCAGCCGGTGAATGATGAGTGTTCAGGAAACACCTCCTAGCCCCAGTGGCCTTGCCTGGGAGGCCAAGTGGTACCCCAAGCTGGTCCCCTCAAGCTCAGGCTCAGGTGCTCCAAATATGCGGCCATAGCCATGGCCTAGGCCCTTTTTGATTCCTGGTGGGGCATTCAGGTATGGCTTCATCCAGGGTACAGACTAGCTAGTGGTTGCTGGGTCTCATGGTCCCAAGACCCCAGCTGTGGGTCTCCGATCAGCCTACATGTAGTCATCAAGCAGTGGTGGGGTTGTTGGGTATGTTTCTCCCCCACCCGCACCAGCACCTACAGGTTAAATGCTGCCCCAAAAGCCCTAACTGGCTCCAACCTGGCAATCCCCCGTTTCTCAGCTGCGGAAGCCAGGGCCTCAGGAACTCAGCCTGCAGTAGTGTTGAGGGCTGATGGCATTGCAGGCAGAATCCCCAGCTGCAGACCCTTGGACCAGCATGCATAGCCACGGGCCATAAAACCTGGGCTCCGGGTCCCATTGTGTCAGAATCTGTGGCTTGGGTCTGGGTCTCAGGGGATTGGAGAAGTCCCCCGGGTCCAAATGTGCAACCCAGCTGAGGCCCCCCCTGGGCTGCCCACCATGGCGGTCACAGCTGAGCAGGCAGACACAGAGAGGCAGACACGTGCCCAGGCCACCCAGCGAGTCGGTGGGAGGCTGGCCCAGGACCAAGGGCACCCACCTTTGTGGCTGAGCCGCCCACCTTTGAGGCACAGGGTCCAAATCCCAGGGTCTCCTACCTCATGGCTGTTTTGCTGTGTGCTCCCAGACAAGCCCCCAGCCTCTTTGAGCTTGTTTCCTTACCTTTTGGGACCTCCAGGGACACAGGAAGCCTTGTAGGGTCCTTGAGGACTGAGCCTGCAGACCTCCCCGCCCCCCTCAGAGGAGCTGCAGCTTGTCTGTGAGGTGGGGAAGCCAGAGGCCTGCCTGCCTCCCAGGGTAGCTGAGCAGGTCGAAAGAGATGATCCACAAGCGGCGCCTGCCACAAGGCCAGGCTCAGTAGGCACCGGAACCAGCGGGCCTGCAGCAGGGATGATCCTCTTGTCCTGTGGCCCCAAGCTGGGAGGAGACAGTGGAAGCTCCAGGCTGGATTTTGGCTTTGTGGAAGGAGACTGATTTTGGCTCCACTGTGGGATGGAGGCTGTATTGTTTCAAGCAGTGAGCTTCCTGTCACTGGAGGCATTCAAGTAACAGTTGACTCTTCAGAGGGTAGGCTGTTGGGGGGCATTAATAGTTAGAAGGAAGAATGGGGGGCACTGAGAGCTCTGGGGCCCTGGTTTCCTAATTCTCCAAGTGTCAAGAAAACCAGTGAGCAGTGACAGGACAGAGGCGGGGTGGCTGAGGGGCGGGGGTCTCAGCACGCTCTGAGCGGGGTCTGCACGTCTCTCCTCGGCCCCTTCCAAGATGGACAGGCGTGTGCTCCTGCATACACACAGCCCCTCGTTTACTCCTCCCTCCCACCCTGAGAGGCAGGGACTGACTGCTGCCCCTGTTCTATAGGTGAGGAAACTGAGATTAAGTGACTTTCCAGAGCCACCCAGATCAAATAGCAGAGGGAGAATTGTCTGCCCAACCCCAAAGACCCCTGCAGGCTCCGTAAGGACAGGGCTGAGGGGCCTGAGACACGGGCGCCAGCCTTGTCCCCTCCATCTCGGCCCTCCCCTCTGGGGGTTTGTCCTCCTTGGGCCTGGGGCACAGGTCAGCCTGGGGAGACTTGGCACGAGACTGGAAACGCTCTCCAGGCAGAGAGATAATGCCGAGGGGAATGAGGGAGCCAGCACCAGAGAAGCCAACAACCTTTGAGGCTCTTGCGGAGGAGCCTGGGGAGGAAGGAGCCTCGCCTGCTCTTCCCTGCAGCTTTATCTCCTGCAGAATTAAATCCTTGATTAACCCTTATCTCCCCAGCAGGCGCTATCTCTGCCTTGGCGCCGAGTGTCCAGACGCACCGTACAAGATGATTGATTTCTTAAAGATACGCGTGCCTTTCTGATACTTCATTTATTGTCTAAATATTTTTGCTAACATTTCAGCGGGCCCCTTATCGAGCTCAGCTGATGGGTCCCAGTTCTCTCCCCCAAGCACCTCCTGCCCCAGATCCTCCTATCAGCCGACAAGCGGTATTCACTCTTTCGAGAGGGAGGAGGGGGCAGGAGTAGGGGCGCCGATGGGGTGTGGCGACCCTTTCCTGCTGGTGGTGGGGGGAGCTTCTCGCAGACTGAAGAAGGGACAGGATGGCTGGACTCTAGGGGTGGGAGCTTCAGGAAGGACACAGAGGGCACAGAGCCTGGCGGTGGTTGAGAGTTGGTTCTGGCACCAGCCTGCTGTGTTAACTCAGGCAGGTCCCTCCCTGATCCAATAACAGCTTCCACTGTTGGAAATGAGGGCTTGGAGGCCCAGCCAGCTCTAAAATTTAAAGTCAGATGCAAACGAAATGTTCAGGATGGATGGATGGATGGATGGATGGATGGATGGATGGATGGATGGGCAAATGGGCGAATGAGCAAATGAATGAACAAGCTTTCACCTCCAGCTTGGCCCACACTGGCTTGGCCCATCTTTCTGTCCATTTGTACCCCCAAGTCTCACCCACTTTAGCCATATAGCCACCATGACATCAGTGAGACCTGGGAAGGACCCCATGGCTGCCAAGCAGGGTGACAGGTTCAGTGGGAAAAGACCCTGCCTGCAAGGGTGAAGCAGGACTCCCTGGGACCTGTCCTGCCGTGTGGCCCCAGGTGAGTCTTTGCCCAGGGATCAGTGTAGAGCATCGGCCTCCTTGGTCCTTCACCTGGAGATGGAGATGGAGGCGGGGCTGGGGCCCTGGGCTCTGAACAGCTCTCCATGTGGGAAGCCTCCCAGGCTGGTGTCAGGGGTCACTGCCACGGCAGAGGCAAACCTCACAGGAGGGCCAGCCCAGACCAGGAGCCTCTTGGGGGGGCGAGGGGAGCTGAGGCAGGGTGCCCGGGTACACTTCAGTGACGCCCCTCTCTCCTCCTTTGATTCTCATTTACATTTGTTTGTAATAGGGAAGAATCCCCGCACCCCACCCCTCACTGCCCTGCTTTCCCGTTACTTCTGGGTGTGGGGTGCCCAGCTGTGGGGTGCCACGAGTTCTTTACCCAGGTGGGGACGCACTGCAGGCCGCCCTGTGTCTTGCTTTGCTCACCTGCTGAAATGTTTCCTAGCATTTCAGGGCGGCCTGCCCCCATGGCTCCAGGTGCTGCTGGCTGCACCGCCCTGTTCGTACCTGGAAAGTAAGAGTCAGTGACACAGGACATGCTGTGGGCTCACCCTGACAGCAGGTGGTTGCTACCCACTAAGGTCTGGGCACAGCAAGGCAGCACTGGAGCTGGCCCGCTGGCCATGCCTCCCCCCGTCCCTGCCCAACCCTGCCTCCTTACTTAACAGCCCCGTGGGCCATCCTTGCCCGTTGTTCCCAAGAGCCTCTTCTAACCACTCCAGCCTGTCATCCTCTGTCCAGTGGACCCAGCAGCCACATGGGACCTTGCAAGGAAGTGCCCTGAGGCTATGCTCCCCTCTCCCTCCCACATTAGTGAGGTGCAGCCTGGTCCAGACCCCCTGGTGCCAGTAGGTCGCTAGGACGATGGCGGTCATTCCCCAGCAGGCCCTGGCCTAGAGCTTTACCCTGACACTGATGACTCTCCTTGGCCTTGAGGCAGCTGTTCCAATTAACCCTATTGTGCAGATGGGGAAACTGAGGCTCAGAGAGGGCCCCAGAATGTAAGTTTCCTGTGGCTGCCGCAACAAAATGCCACAACTTGGTGTCTTAAGCAGAATTCATTCTCTCCCAGTTCTGAGGCCAGGCGTCGGCAGGGCTCGTGTCTTCTGGGGTCTCTG